CCTTTGCACGAATTGAGTCCGACTGTACAATTAGAGCAGGTCCCACTTCTTGAATAAAAGACATTTCATAAAGTAGGCAGTCAAATTTTTTTGGTACACTTCTTTAAAACACTAAAAAGTTTTCGTAAGATCCGCTGGGCCAAAGAAAGCTTGTTTGTCGTTGAATGCTATTTGTTGTGTGCTCTCGACGGGAATCAGTTAGGTTTGTTTTTCCCGCGAGTCTCAATGTACCGAAAATATATGTGTGATACGTAAATGCTTTGGGGAACCAGCTTTTAGATCATTTTTAGAGGTTAAAAAATTTAATCGCCACATTTGTACTCGATAAAGTATAAAGGCGCTGATTTTTAGCTTTGAGCTGTTTAGAATGTTTAGAGTCTAGAATCGCCTCGAAATTTTGGAGAAAAGAGCATAGCCACGTTCTGATCACGTGCAAAATCTGAACATTGATCAAATTAAATGAATGTATCCCGCCTGGAATACATACTACTACACTTTATTTAGACAGAATTTCAAGCTTGTATCCTAAGGGGGGTACATTTTGATTTAGGCAGAGTCACGTTTATCACTTATCCGCATAATCGAGCTACTCTGTATTTAGAATTACTGTTTGAGGAATATTTTTTTAATCGCCAGTTGTCAGACACTTTTTTATTCTATGATTCTAAGTGGGAGCGGTGAACGTACGGGTTGTCCATTTCTTGCCTGCATTCAGACTGAAGTATCCATTGCATGCTAAAAATACACATGAAGCAACAAAGCATGTCTCAAAATAATTTGTCAGTCTAGTTTCACCCTGGGTAATGAGAAAACGTCTGAGAAGTCATTCTTTTGAAATTAACCACATTGCTAAATGGCTCTTGTGAAATGTCACTAGATAAGGTGTGACGCTGGGACGCGCTAGAATGCTATTGTGAAACCACAAAACAATCAAGCAAGGATTTGAAAGGCGTGTGCGTGATTTGTCTTTTCTAAATCGAATTTTGCCGTCAAAACATTAAGCAGCATCGTATATTCAGAAGTGTTGTTCTTTTTTGTCCTTTGATTCTTAGTGGGAGTGGTGAACATATCGGGTTGTTTCACTTCTTGTTTACATTTAGACTAAAGCATCCATCGCGTGCTAAAAATACACCTAAAACAACCGATCAATTTCTATTGTGAAATATTGTTAGGGCGTAAACACATTTTTTTTTTAAATGTTAAAAAAACACAAGAGAGTACGAGCTGGAATGCTACCGTGAAACCACAAAATAACCAAGCTGAGTTATTCTATTTAAAGGTATGCAAAGAGGTGAAACTCGCAAGCGTTTTTAATCTTTTCAAAATTGAAAAATTTGCTGTTAAACTATCGAGCAACATCTTGTTGAGGATTGGTCTTTGAGGACTACCTCCTCGTGAAGCGCCAGTCGTCAGCCACAATGATATTATGTAGGTATGGTGAAACGTGTCAATCTTTTTTTTTTAAAGCTCTTTTGATTATGTCCTAGGGTCCTAATTAAGTTTTTTTACTTCCCTGTGACATGCGCAGTTCTGATCTATGAAATGCTATAAAAGGAATCTCATAGACACTCCCAAAGTTGTCTTTTGCAGTTTCGTAAGACGTCTAGAAGAAGTGATCTTCCCATAAGACAAGCTTGGAAAACAAAAGGTTGGGAAAAATCTCCCGAAAGATGTAGCTGGAAATCAGAAACACACCAAAAATGTCTCAGTCTTGTTTTAAATACTACCTGCTGGTAGGCCAACTCTTCCCAAAATTACATCAGCTCTATTCGGAAGAGCCGTTTTGGCAATTTGAAAATTCTTGCCTTCTTCGACCGCTCATTTTTCGAGATTTTCATTGCTTTTATTGATGGAATTAACCTTAAAGCCTCGTCTGTGCAAAAACAGACTTTAATGCGAAGTAATCAGTCCCAAGTAATCAGTAGTAAATTCATTTACATCTGTTTTGTTATTTCCATGTCAATCTATTCCAGGTTTGATCCATCATGTCCATCAAGTTGTACGACGCGAGCGGTTTGAGCCAGGAGTTTTCAGATTCAGAGATGGACCTGAAAAAGGATGGTGTTTCCTTCGTAAAAGCCGTTGTTAGTTCGGGAACCTGGATCTTCTACACCTACGCAAACTACAATGACGCACAATATGGTGCTGGCCCATCTAACTACAAGGTTCTCAAGCCTGGACCAGATGTAAAGATCTCGAGTGTGAATGGCTCCATGCTCCTCCTTCCGGACCAGGTAGAAGGAGTCATTCTGTTCGAGCATAGCTTCTACGGTGGAACCAACAAGGTATTCAAAATACATAAGCTTTCAATAATCAGCAGCTCACGCTCTTTGTAAAAAACGCTCTGCTTTGTCTTACAATTCTCGTAAGACAACAAAAAATCAGCAGTAAGTAGCAATCAGTTCTAAATGGATTATAGGATAGTGTGGCATCATAGAACATGATGGTTTTTTTCATTTTCTTAATTTTGAACAAGGATTTTTAGTTATTTTGGTTTGAAATTGGCCGTGAGTGAACTCGGGCCTGGAATCATTTTTCTAAAAAGTAGATTATTTCCGATAATAATCTTCAAAGTCACTTAGACGGAGGTAAATAAGATAGCTTGATTCCACATGGATTCATATTCATCACAAACAGATCATCTATACATCATGCAGACACTTGATGTAAGTGACAGGCGCAAGAGGCATTGAAAAGTGATCAGATTGTTGTAAGAGTATAACTGATATTTTTTCCACATACCCCTGTCTTTTCCCTTCGATACCAAAGGGCGTATGTTTCGTGACAATGTGTAGCACTTTTTCCCAGTAAACGTCATAGCTCTGGTTCGTGCTAGATCTCCCTTCGCAGTTCCTGGAAGAATATTTAGTGGACTTCGAAAATTCATGTCAAATGAGGAGTTTAACTAGATTTAAAACTTTTCTCAAAAGACACTCCTGCAAACGAGCTTATTCTTTTACTTAGTGTCTTAGAGGTTAGATGCTAGTACAAAATTATTTCTTTTGAAAGATGGTTCTCCTTTATCTGGGTTCTATTCTTTCCACAATTTCGTGCAGTGGTTTAAAGAAAGTTGCACAGATCTGAACCCCTTTTTCCCAACCGGGCAAATTGGAGGAGTCTCCTCTACCATCGTGTTATCCAAGAACGAGAAGTTTGCAGTCTTCACCAAAACCAACTATCAAGGAGAGCAACAGCAACTGGAGCCAGGCAAGTGGTATGAAAGTCCAGCAGCCATGAATTTCCCCAACGACCGAATGCAGAGCCTCCGCAAGATGTGAGATGACCAATCTGACCTGGCTCTTCTCTTTTCGTGTTTTGTTTTGTTCATTTGTTTTTTTAGTTTTTGGCCTTATTGTTATCTTTTGATTGATGAAAAGTTAGCAAAATAAGATTTTGTCAATTCAGCTCAGCACTTTAAGTCATTAGAGATGAGTCAAATAAAAGAAGTTTACTGCAAAAGGTTGGCATTTTTATTTTTATGAAGAAAGAGCTTTTTTTAGGCGAAATGGATGTGATCTCACCCTATGGATATGTTTAGTATTGAATAATTTGGATTTTAATTTGTACCAAAGCAGCGTTTTTAAGGAAAGGAGAGCAAAAATTGCAATTTTCAACCGCTTTTTCCCGTGACCAGAGTGTAAGATAGAGTCTGTGATGTTGACCATGAAAGTCAACAGTTATCAAACGCATCACAGAAATATTCATTATTTCAAGGACTGGCTAGAATTTCGACCGAGCACTTCTTACGAAGACAACAAAGTAATGCCATTACTATGAATATGTCAAAATCGTATATGGGAGCTGCGGATTAAGGAATAAATCTGAAACCGATCTTTACAATGATGAACACTACTCAAGAAGTAGTAAAAATAAGGCCTGAAGAAAAAATTCAGGCCTACACGGGATTTGAACCCATGACCTTTGCAATACCGTTGCACTGCACAATGTGTCGTGAATTTAAGTTGTTTACTGGCAAATGTCTTTTCATCGGAGAAAGCCTAAGCAGTCAGTGTAACAACCAAACACGTAATTGAATCGAGAATATACCGTTTAAACACAAGATGTAATTCGTGGAGAATATTTAAAGCAAAGAAACAGGTATGCAACATGGCAGTCGACGCAGAACGTAAATAATGCTGGTTGATCTTTTCAATCTTCGCAAAAAACTAACCATATGGCAAAAACAAGATTACTCTTCAAATATGCATTATGTAAATGCTTTGGGCGATTTTCAGCAGAGCCAGCAAAATTTTCCTTTCCAAAACAAACACTCCAGTGATGATTTCGTGTTAGGCCTTTTGGTGTCGGTGTGTGCGTTGTAAGTACATGAAGGAACGGTACACAAAACACGCGTCAACTTCTAAATGATAAAACATTCCCTGCAGATCTTTCTAATTTCGACAGATCTTAGCGACGAGGTCTTCACGAAGGACATGATCCGTTTAACTGGGTAGATGGGATCAAAGTTTTTTGTCAGTACTATTCTTAGTGTGTGTTAATGTTGGGTTGATTACTTTGCAACATTTACTTTGCGGCAGCCAAATACCACGTCATGATTGACATGAAAGACAACACCCTTACGCTCTGATTGGTGGAAACATACTCCTATGGTGCGAGTAACATACCACTCTATGTGCTTACATAAAGCTATTTAAATATTTTAAAAAATGGTAACTAAAAAACAGGCACTCTGGGGGCCTTGGGGCTGTGATCTGATCGGTTATACATACATAGGCGATCTGAGGCGATCTGATTTGTGTAAGATACATACCCTAATGCAGCGATCTGATTGATGCGAGCAACATACCACTCTATACGCTGACATAGAGTAATTTTTTCCCAAAAAAAGTCTTACTTTAAGATAGGCACTCCAGGGGCCCCAGGGCCTATTACTTTTCTTGCTGCCTTTTTTCCTCGCAGGCGCTCTTTTTGACGGCGCAGACTTCCCGCCAAAGGGTAAAATCAGCGGAAATTAAGAAGCGCATGCGTTAGAGGACGAGAATTCCAAGATGGCGCATATGAGTCTTGAAAAGTATTTAGATCAGGTCAGGAAGCGATTTCGTTGATAGTTTTGTATTAAAAGAAAAAAAAAAGAAGAAGGAAAACAACCGAGAGCTGCACTTACTTTCATGCTTGAACTTTCCCAATAGGTGAAAAAAGGACTTGTTTCCAAAAGTGGCGACATTTTAGCGGTAAGATTCAAATTGTCCTAAGATCGCACGAAAGCGAATTTTCCTATCTTCAAATACACAGAATGTTTGCACACTATCGTAAGATTAATGGAAGGTTTTTCCAATTTAAAATTAAAATTTTCGCAGACCGGGATACAGTTGCGCAGTTGTTGCCTGTGCGTCGAGTACAACAGCATGTTTTTACCATATGATTGTTTAAGGGAAAGTCTAAATATATAAAGAAGTGCTTAATTAAGGTATGGTCCCGATGGAAACAAGTTAGTTTTGTTTTCCCTCGAGTCCTGATGTTTCCCTCGACTTCGTCTTGAGAAACATTAAGACTCTCGGGAAAACAAGACCAACTGTTTCCCTCTGAACCATGCATTAAGTGTATATTGTTGCCATTGTTGTAAAGTTGTATCAATTCACAGGTGCCAGTTTATAAATGAAAATTTGATTTATTTAAAGCAAATAAAAATTGAGCATAAGATATCAAAGGAATAGGAAGCAACTTTTCCTTTTTACTGACTCTTGCAATTAATTGTACTAGTGAATATTTCACCTATGCTTGTTATGATGTGTAATGATATTTAAACATTTTCAAATATTTATGTACTTGTAGGAACTATTTTCCTTTCGTCATCCACACATAGCAAGTCCAAGACTGCAGGTAAAACCATTACAGATTACTTACTTTGGGGATAATTTGTATAAGTATACAATAGAATAATGGATAGTTATGAGGGCATGCTATGATTGGTGCTCAAACTCCAAATATCCTTTGCCTTTCACCTTCAATCAATGCATGTAGGATTTAAGTTGAAATTTTTGTATTTGCTGCAGGAATGAATGAGTGAAAATGATCTTTTTGTGCTATATTATCTCAATGTTTTAGTGTATACTAAAATAATTCTTCACTTCAGTATTGGTGGCTTGGGTAAGATATTTCCCTTGCACCTTCTTGGCTGGGTAAATATCCACCTTTAGCCACCTCCACTATGGTCAATACTTGTTAATCGTCATATTATGCAGACAGTCCTGTGTGCACTTTTATTGGAAAACGTCATGAAAAAATTCTTGTGTGAGGGCTTTGTGCAATGGGGTTAATAGGGCTGGAACAAGCTCTGTGCAAGATGAGCAGAATGAAAAAAAGCAAGAGGATAGGAAGAAAGAGAGAGAAAGACATACACATGATAAAATGCCTACTGACTTAGATACGGGTTGGGTGATAGGAAAATATTTTGCTCTCTGTCATGATGTGTAAACTGAGCACAATAAGGTGCGTATGTCATGACTTTGAGTGAAATATTTCCAATCAGGCCTTTGCAAGGAGTGTATGCCTGATACAAGAAGAGAGATGAAATTCCCTGTTCCTGCTAGTGTTTTTTTGAGACTGCATCGCTGTTTAGTTGTTTTATCATTAACTATGAAAGGAACTAGTTTTTAAGGGTATGTTTTCCCATTGTTTCTGAATTTCTTGGCATTTTGAAACAGCTGAAACCTAATTTTTTTTAACCAACTTACCATTTCATTGTATCAGGTTTAATTGGTTTGTATTTTTGGCAGTTACCAAATGCACAGCTGCAATGTGAAAGATGGCTTGAACCACCATATGATGAAATGGCAGCATATCATCTCAGATGAACTATGCCTTTCAAATTCATCCCAATAAATGGGTGTTATGGGCTTGTGGTTTTTATGTGGGAGGAAACTAAACAAGATACTCTTCTATTTATATTGTTTTTTTGCAGAGCTATTTGGGCTGTGGCCAATGGTGATTATGTTGAAGCACGATCTGCCCAAGCAGTTGTTGTCCAATATCTTTTTTGAAAACCCAAAATACAAAAAATTGTTAGATGGTTTTGGAAGTTTTGGAGGGAACAGTTCTTTATTAGCTATGATACACAATCTTTTTTCCCTCACAATTTTTCCAATTGCAGTAGTCTGAATATAATTTGTTTTGATAATTGGCTACAATGTCAATTTTTTAATATAAATTTCTAAGAATTCACTTGCTTATGTGCAAGTTTGTATTATTTTGTAATCACTTAATGATTCATGCAAAACTGGCCTAGTGTTAGTTTATGATGATTCTTTGATTGGCAGTTGGGTTACTGATCCCTTAGCAATGGTACTATAAAAATAAATCAAAGAAACGTATTGCATTGTTAACCCAGTACAAGAAAAGTAGTGTGAAAAGAACCTTAAGTCATAACAACATCCAATATGTTTTTGGTTGAAAAAACTCAGTGTATGCCTACTGAAACTTTTGTTTTCTACATGTCAACTGTTTGCATATTATCTAATCATCTTTTGTCTTAACAAATAGTAAGTCTTTCACCTGTGCTTTTCAGAGTCAAAAAGGTTAAAACTGACCAGTATGTTTGTTAACAAGTAATCCTAGAAATTAATCAATTATTAGAAATGATTCATATAAAATTTAATGCCTAACCAGCCACCAGAAAGAAATCCTGAACATCCTTGTTATTAACTGAAAGTGGAGATGTGACACAGCTAAGTCTTTTTCTATGTAAGAACATGTTCTATACACTGTAATAACATCAGACGATTACAATGCAGTGAAGTAGAAAGGAAAAGGCTGCAGTCATCTTGTAGTTTTCTGTAAGCAGTATCTCTCAGAGTTGAACACAGAAGGTAACTCTTGTGTGCTTAAGATAGGCGCAAGAATTTGTACTATCATTTTTTGTTAGTGTTGGTGTTTCATAGTTTCGTGTTAGGTGTTTATTTTCTCGTCTTCCATTAGTGTCCTTTGTCAGTTACCAGTTTTGTACTTGTTATATTTATTTGCATATCGTATATATATTGGTTGCGCGTAATTTATTTGGTTAGTTGTCTAGTTTGTGAAAATTACCGTTACATATCTAGCTCTGGGTTTCATGTTTTCGTCTTTGGTTTGGTCACATTCGTCTTGTAAGTATCCTTGTTTATTTCGCTTTGTCGTTTTCCAGTACTTTCACTCATACGATGTAAGTTATTTTATGCTCATTCGCGTGTTTGTAATTTTGTCATTTTCAGTTACCGTATTCAACAATGTGTCAAGTTTGTTCTAGTAAAGTTTGAAATACGTGTGATTAGCGTTTGCGGCTATATTTTGTAAAAGACGAATCTGGTTTATTGGAAGTTTATGACGATGTCTCGCAACGGTTCTGATGTCTACCTGTCTTATTCGGCCGGGAAGAACGGCCAACCTGCCGAAAACGGTTCACGTACTCGTAAACCGAATACCTCTTTGGATCAAGAAGGAATCTCTCTTGAACGCATCCGTGAACTCAGAAAGCGGAGAGGAGGAGTGTTGTCTTCGTTAACGTCCAAGTGTCGAGAGATCGATAGTCTTTTAACGGATGAAAATAATTTGGAGACGGTGAAAGTAAAGCTGTCGGAAATCACGTCGCTATTTCGAAGATTTACCGAGGCTCATGACGCGTATAATGTAGCTCTGGTTGAGGAAAGTCAGAGACAAGAATCAGACCTCTATTTCGCCGACATTGAAAGCAGTTTAGATTTTTTCTGCCGTACGGTCAATGATTGGTTACGTGTCACGGAAGCCAGGCTTCAAGATAACCTGATAACGCCTGACGACAGCGCTTCTCAAATTGGGTCCGAGGTTCGTAGCAAGTCTAGACCATCCATGTGTGGATCGAGAACGAGTCACTTTTCTAAAACGAGCTCCATATCTGCTGCAAGAGCCAAAGAGGCAGCTCGCATCGCGGAACTTCGAGCGGAGGCACACGCTTTGAAACACCGCCATTCGCTTCAGGAATCGGAGCTACGCCTCAAGAGGCAAGAGTACGACCTGCAGTTGAAGAAAGATGAATTAAACCTCAAAACTGAGTACGCTAAAGCGGTGGCTAGAGAAGAAGCTTACGCTCAAGCTGAAGCGGGTAATTTCGCGCCTAGCAACGTGGCCTCTAGGAATCCTCGTTGTCCCGTTTCAGTCGTATCCTCCATCACTGAAAAGTCAAGGACTGGTGGTTCAAAACGTGAGTCATTTGTACCTGCCGATAAGAAAGAGAAATTGTCTGTGAAGTCAAGTAACCCGGTTAAAGATCATAAGGGTGCTGTGAGTGATTCAAGTTCAAGCTCTGGCAACTCAGGTCTGAGCGACCAGGCCTATGGCATTCTCGTCCAGCAGAACCGAGTAATGGAAGAGTTCGTGAAACAGCAGCAAAGGAACTTGTTACCCAGGAGACGTGTACCTGTGTTCAGTGGAGACCCTTTACATTACTGTGCTTTCATTCGCGCGTTCGAGACCGTAATCGAAACTAGAGAACTAGATTACGCTGGGAGACTCTATTACCTCGAACAGCACACAGCTGGCAGAGCTCAAGAGTTGGTACAAAGTTGCCTCTACATGAAAGCCGAAGATGGGTACGTAAAGGCAAAGAAACTCTTAGAGAGCAAATTTGGACAGAAGCACAAAATCGCTATGGCATATATGGATAAAGTCACTAATGGTCCAGTCATCAAAGCTGAAGATGCAGACGCCCTAGAAGGCTTTGCCGTTTTGCTCTCTAGCTGTACAAACACTCTTAAGGCTATCGGCCATTCCAGCAAGTTCGAAAGTCCGGATAGCATGCGGAAGATTATTGAGAGGCTTCCCCCGAAGTTGCAAGCCAGTTGGCGGGACAACGCTGATCGGATCCTCAACTCGGAAGCGAGAGATGTCTGCATTGATGATATTTCACTCTTCGTTGAACAGAAAGCTCGCACCTTGTCCAATCCAGTTTTTGGCAAGCTTCCTTGTTTGGAAAAGGAGAAGAAGAACAGCAAGGATAGGGGTTCGAGATCGAAGTCTGAGAGACCCGGTGGAAAACAGCTAAGCCTCGTCACGATTCCGAGACGAAATCTGCTCTCAATTCATCTGCTGATGTGTTGAGTGCAGTTCATTCTTCTAAGAAGAACTGTCTGTTTTGTAATGCAGATCACAATCTCACCGAATGTTCCAGTTTCGCCAAAGTACCTCCTACAGATCGTCAGGAGTTTGTCATGAAGCAGAGGCTATGCTTTTCGTGCTTAGGTGGAGGCCATCAGTCTAGAAGTTGTCACAAAAGGAAGCCCTGTATTCACTGTAATAAGAGACACGCTACTGTAATGCATGTAAGTGCACCAGAAGCTATTGTTGCGTCCGACCGTGGTAAGGATGGACCTCAGAGCGAGAACAACCAGTCCAGTACTGAGAAGATCAGAGCTGATCACTTTTGTGGCCTAACCACAATGGAGGGTTCCGTGAATGCATTGCCCATTGTTGCTGTGAAGGTCAAAGTCAAAGGAAGTCCTCGGTCCGTGGAGACTTATGCGTTGCTGGATAATGGATCTAACACCACCTTTTGCTCGGCTAGCCTGATGAAACGTCTGAGTGTCAGCGGCAAGGAAATGAGAATCAAGCTAACCACCATGGATAGCTGCAACGATGTGGACAGTCTCGTTGTTACGAACCTGGAAGTGACTGATCTAGACGAGAACGTTGTCATTTCCTTGCCAGAAGTTCTTTCCCGACCTTCTATGCCTGTAGTGAAAGATGAGATCCCGAAACAAGAGGATGTGGAGCGATGGCCGCACCTTCAAGGCTATGTATACCTAGCAGAATTGAATTCCGAGGTGGATCTATTGATTGGTGCAAACGTACCTGAAGCCCTACAACCGAGAGAA